GGGTTGCGCGCCCATCCGCCAGCGAGGGAGTGCCATCAGCTGTGGCTTTCAAATGGAGAATCCGAGGCCGAAATCAAGTGACTGGGCCAACGGCCTGGGAAATACATGGCCGAGCTACCCGTGTCGTCTTGCGGCAGGGCGAGCGGGAAACCTCTCCGCAAACCTCGCACCATCTGCGTTTTCCACCCCCTGCCCTCTGTGCTGTCAGGGTCAGGGGAGACACGCGCCCCTCAGCTGTCCTCCCTGGCTTCCCAAGGCTACAGCTGTCACTCGCCAACATACGTTGACCATAAAACATGAGCCCAAATTCTGCTTGGCTGCACTCTGTTGGTTATACGGGAAGCACCGTAGTAAAGGACTAGGCAGGGACTCCAGAAACCCAGACTGAAAGTTTACTTCCCCTCAGGCAGGATGTCTTATTTTTGTCTTTTCATCCCATCTGGTAACAGAAATAACGAGACCTTCTGACAAAACACTCGGTGTTTAAGCAGCTAAGGGCTGTTGGTATTAGTATACTGCTAGCAAGTAGAATTCACTTTTGTAAAGACTGGGCGAAAACTGGCAAAGAAGCGGAAATGGACATAGCCCAAAGACTTTGAGTTTTGTTGCTGTTTTACTAGAGTTGTTTTTTATAGCTCATATAAACGACCAAGCCATCATTTTCCCCCCATGCATAAGGTCTATTCATGGTAAGACATGGGAAACTAAAGGAAAAATGCTAGTAGTTTATATACCTACGTAATATTATCTGACAGGCTATTTAATATGATACCTCACAGAAACAGTGAAGAAAAAAAATTACACTGTTCCTGCTAATGTTTCTCCATTCAAAACTCGCAGACTACTAGAGTATTTCCAAGGGGTCTTTTTTTTTTTTTAATTTTCCCTGTTCCTGCTTTCCTCCTCAGCGTTCACCCTGCATTGGAAATTGTTTCTGCCTGGACATCACCCAGGCATTGGCCGGGTCTCTGCTGGCATGCAGCCTCCTCTGGGATCCCGTTTCCCTTCCTATCCTTACCTCCTGCTATCAGGAGCCTGGTCAGAGTGAATGATGGCTGTCGCCCAGCTTGTGTGTCCAAAGCTTTCTCTGGGCTGGGTGGGAGTCAATGCATGCTTGGTCTTACCATGACAGGGAGTATCAGAAACACTCCTTCATTCCCACCCTGGTTTTGACATAGCTCCCAGACTGGCAATTATCTTGGTCTCTTTTGGAGGTTTAAAGTAAAGAGTGAGCATAACATGTATAAAGTGAATGGCCAATTTTCTCTTGGAGCACAAAATACTTTTGTCTTCCACAATATATATTGTTATCATATATATTGTTAATGTTAACAACATTTGAAAAGGTCTACCTGCATACAAAAACAGCATTAAAAAGGGGAGTATATTCTGGGAGGAGGAAGGACTTGAGAGAACACATTTGTGATGCATTAGATGGCTAGACACCTATGTTAAAATATTTCACAGGTGTGTAAGAGGAAAGATGGTTTATTTTACTACCAGTAAATAATAGGCTTTTACAACTGGAAAATACTACAATACTGTAGGTGTGCGTTGTGATTTTAGACAAATGAAGGCTGTAGTCTCAACCTTGAGGAGTTCATGAATTTGAAGAGCATAAAATCATTAAATGTTTCTACACATAAGATCGACAGCAGTGATCTCACTGTAGAGGTGAACCCCCAATTTCTGAGTAAGGTTGTAAGAATTTGCAGGATTAGTTCCTGTGTTAATTCCTAATATATCCTAAAGTACCTTTCCCTCAAATACTGTTGGAATGATCTCTAATAATTTTACAAAATTTTAAAAAATCCTTTCATGTTTGTCTTTGGCTGAGGCCCATTATAAGGATTTCAGCAGCCACATTCAGCAATTTCTTAGCAATCTTGTGAGCACCCATTAGTTTTTCAGAGCTCTTCAGAGAGTTCTTTATGAAACTCAAATTTCGTAGTTTTGGGAATCCATTTATTTTTGCTGTTTGGGCAACTGTGTGGGACAGAGTGAAGTTTCTTGTAGCCTCCTTCTCCCTCTCCTGCTTCCCCTGCCTCCTTTAAAGTTAATTAGCACTCAGGAAGATGTTGCAGTTGCTCGAACACCCTATGAGATTTTAATTTTGCAGGTTGGGAATGTTTCTTATTATCTTCCTCCCCCACCTTTGCATTTAATATCCCTCTCTCTAGTCCTCCTTTGCAATAAGAAAAGTGGGGGGGGGGTTCCCATTAAATTTTTTTTTGCCTAATTGTAAAAGGAACTAGGCCTTAAGCCTTATTGTTTCTAAGACTATTCATATTAGACATATAACTAATAATTAGAAATTGTTTTAGATATGATTAGTAGAATGCAGGTGCTTATAAAACAATATGCATAAGCTGCTTATTTGTCCTATGTGTCTCCCCCTCCATGGCTGGCTTGAAACCCAGTCAAGCTGAATCAACAGAAGAAGGATCATACATCTTAGACCTAAGACATGGGAGTAAGTGATTAACTTTAAAACAATATAAATTAACAAAATAGCCTGAGTGATTTTCAGAAGTTCGAAGGCAATCTTTGATGTGTAAGAAGATAAGTGATTGTGGTGACCGAAGACCTTCTGCCTACTACCACTAACTTCAGAAGAACCAGGACACGAGAATTGATAAGATAAGATGAATGATAATGACATGGGAACAGAGATCGACTGGAAAATTACAAAGACTTTGGACTGGGACAATGGGTGGTAAAAAGGAATATAAGATTGGGAAATTTTTAGAAGGTTGCCATTCACTGTGGTGGTGGCCCAGCTCTGAGTTGTTAATAAAGCAAACCTAGAGAAACCCATGACTGAAACTCCTTTAACACTAAGGACTTAATTGCTAATTAGCAATCGAAAAAGTAGCTGTGGCTAAACTGGGAGAAAATTCTCCTGTTGCTGTCAGCCATTAATGAGCATTGACTGAGCGAGCCGTATTTCATAGGAAGTTTGGATATTTGCAGTTTCTCTTGCTTTTGATTGACACAAACTGTTTATCTCTCTAACACAAGACAGAGAACATAAGAAAATGAAAATTATGGTAGTAATTCAGACCAAGGGTGTGTTCAACCCAGCACCCTGTCTCCAAGCCTGCTCACAAGTAGATGCCTAGGGAAGAGTAAGAGCAGGTAAGCACGTATGATGATACTGACCCCACTGCTCTCAGCCTGCAGCTATCTTCAACTTAGGCTTGGGCATGTTGTAGTTTGTTTATGTAGTAACCTCCAATATACATCTCTGTCAACTTTTCCTAGTCTCCCTGTGAATCCCTGCCAATCCCTTATATGTACACTGTTCTTGGCAGGGACTTCTACAGACTCAATTCCTGCTGTGTGAGGAACACCCCCCCCTCCTTTTTTTTTTTTTTGCTTTGCACCTGATTCCTGTCAGCTTCATTTGATACCCCTTAGTTCTTGTACTGGGAGCGACAGCAAAGAGTCAGTCCTGTTCATCCCCTCTGTCCATTGGTGATTTTGTGGACCTGCATCATGTGCCTCCTGAATCACCTCTTCTCTGAACTGAAGGCTGTTCTTCAGGGGGTCTTTGTTCAGAAACTGCTCTGTACTTTCAGTCCTTCCTAGTGCTCTTCTCTGCCCTGTTCCAGTTCTGCTGCATCATTTCCTGAAGTGAGGCAACCAGATCTACATATAGTATTCACAGTATGGGCATGTCTTGGATTTACCCCGTGGTATGATTTTCTGCTCTGTGGTCCTAATAATTCCTACTGTAAAATTTGCTTTTTTGGCTGCTACTGAGTGTTGAGCTGATGTCTGTGTGGAATTATCTGTCATAATTAGAAGATTTTACTCCTGTGTGGTGGTAGTCAGTTCAGAGCCCTTTATTTTAAATGTGAGGCCAAGTTAGTTTGTTTGTCTCCCATGCGCATCTCTTAAGATTCACAGAGTCTAAAAATAACTTCTAGTTGCCTGGCCTCCCAAGCAGTGTCCAGAACACTGTGGGACTCTTAGTTCCCATATAGGTTAGAAACAACCCTCTTGCTCTGTGAATGACTCGCCTATAGGAGGAATTTGGCACAAGTTGGTAGCTTAAATATTGTTCTTCAGATATATTCTAGGTACATTTCGCTACTGTTATCTAAAATACTTTTACTCTTGACTTGTAGCCCCAAACCCTCTAGTGAAGATGAAGAACTTTTTTTTTTTTTCTCTGAAAAACTAAAGAAGGATCATGCTTTTCTGTTGATTTTTATTGGGGCAGGGGGTTGGACACATAGCTGAGGAGGGCAGAGATACCTCTTTTTTATACTGTTGCAATATTTGCTTGTTGGACTACTTGTTTAGGAAGTTCAAGAGCTAGATTTAATTCTGCTTTCAGCTTGAGGGAAACCAAA